ATCAAAAGTCTGAAGACATATGTAATAGAGTTGAAAGCAGAATTAGATCTAATAAGAAAATGTCACTGGATTTGTATTGAGCATAGGAACAGTAGAGAACATCTAGTAAAGTGGAGAGATACGGCTCATTTTTTTTCCCAGCGCTAGAATTTGATTTATCAAATGCTGAAAATCTCTCATCAGTGTATACACAAGTGGGGAAATGGGTTTGAAAGTTGCTGTATTTTAAATCAAGTTTTCCAGACACACTGTTGGTGCTGCTTGTTTTGGGTAAGGATGGCAAAGTTACAGACTATATAGAATTGTAAACCAATGTGTCCTCCCCTGAACCTGCTTTATCTTACATAATGTATCAGTCAATAAAAGAACAGGTTGCTCCATGGGTTAGTGAAGAGGTTTTTCACAGCTTAGTTTCTTGAGGTTGGATTTTGTGGCCCAAGTTTCTGTATCCTTTTACATTGTTACTCTCTGTCTTTTGATTTCTTCTGTATTTTTAACTCCCTTCCATTAAGGGGTAGGCTCTCTGCTTTTAATTAATGCCTTCTCAGTGAGGTGTATTAACAGGATCTGCCTCTTGTCTACTCAATATCCCATTTTTGCTAAACTTGCAGGGAATATATTGAGATACTTGTTCTATGAAATAAGTCTTCTGTGCCAACTAATCAGTGGTTCAGTCATTACTGTGGACCGACACATATAAATGGAAAGAAAAAAAAGCATAGAAAGTGAACTAAAGAAATCTTACTTACAGAGGCAATATTTGTCAATAATAGGGCTGGTATTATAACTTACAAGTCATAGCCATCAAACTGAACTGCTGATACTATGGTTGTCTGCATATTGAACACCATGAGATGGAGAACTGTCTCTGCAGTGGCACAAGAAGGTTCTCACTTGCAAATATAGTGGGAAGAATTGGTAATAATGAGATGTTATTTTTTAGATGTAGTTGGTAGGCTGACAGTTACCTGCATAATCTTTTCTCTTTTTTTTGTCTGCTGTGTTCATAAGCATTGTTAACCATCACTTTTAGGAATATACTATGTTGTGATGCCCAGTTGATCATGTATTACCACTTCCTAAATTATTTGTAAACAGAACTATTGCTGGGAATCGACTAAAGGGACTCAATTCAGCTGCTCAGATGCAATGAGAGAATAGTGTAGGAAGCCCTTTCTTAGCTATCTCTGCACTCTCACTTGCTGTAACCCAGGTGAGACTGAAGTGTGATGTGCTTTTCCACTCTCTGCCTGTGAAATGACAGCTTAAACTCAACCCCAGATGTGGCTCCCGTGAGCAGAACATCCAAGTAGTGCAGATCCACTCATCCTTTATTTTCAGCTTGAAAGTGAGGGTGCTGCTTAAACAGCTACATGCCTCAATGTACATGTTTTTAATCTTTCTTGAGGCTCTGTGCTTAGCAGGTAACCAGTCCAATGTACTCTCTGAAAAATAATGGAGCCTGATTTACCTGATCGCTTGCTTGGAAGGTGCAAGGATAGTCTCAGCTGAGAAGAGGAGATGAGGGGAAAAGATCTTCAGAGAGATAGACTTTGCTGTTAGGTGAAAGATAACAAATACAGCTGGAGGCCAGTACCTGCTGCATTGCTTCCCTGTTTATCCCCTTGATTTAAGGACAGCTCTTACAGATTATGCTGGAGATTCACAGGGAGGCTGTAGTCTGTTCTCTTTGGTAGGTTTGTTCCTGTGTTCAGATCAACAATAATGAAGTGTTCCTGCAGGTACGCATTAGCCTCAGGTGAGATAAAACTCATTAAAACCAGCTGTGAAAGGTAGCAGCCCCCTGTTTCTTGTTGCCTTTTTTTTTTTTTTATCCCTCATCAAAGAGTTGTGCTCAATTTGCTTACTTTTGACCCAATCCCTGAAGTAGGTTCGTGGCCAAAGTTCAACAGTAAAGCTTGTCTCAAATGTACAGACCTGATCTCTGTTACCTGTGCGTCAGTGCAAAAGGTAAATGTTTCCTCTGCTACATTTCAGAGATGGTGCAGTTAAAATGGAGAAGTAGCTTTGGGTTTTCTCATTAGAGCCAAACCAAGTTCTCTAGACTGTGGCAATCCATCTTTCCACTACTTCAACCATATCATCTTTAAAAGGCAATTTAATGGTGCCTTATGGTGTATAGAGTTTACAAGGCTAATCTGTCCCCAGTTACACGACACAGCCTTTGATAAAGCATCTCATATTAGATCAAACTGAGTCCAGAATGTTTTATGGGCTGACTTAATATACTAGATTGAAACACATTTTTTTAAGTTACTCTAAAAACTGAGGATTTAAGCAGCTATAAATAACTAAAGGGTTAACAGTGGGCACCAGCATCTCTTTTCAAGGGTTCTGCATTTTCTGTTTTATTCTGAGATGTTTGTGGTTTTGAGAGATGGAGGAGGCGTACACCCAAAACCATGAGGAGCAGATTTTACTGTTGGATGGTTTTGCAATATAAGATAATCCATTGATTTGAATAGATGTGCACTGGTTTACCTGAAGGAATTAGTCTACAACCTTTTCCATGTAAAAAAAAAAAAAATGCAATACCTCCTTGGATTCTTTGTGCTGGGTCAGTTTATGGCTGGTAAATTGTTGACTTATTTAAGATGAAAATGGAATCGACAATACCTATTTATTGTTGGTATAGTTGTGCTGTCACTGTTGTAAAGTTAAAAAGCAGCAATTAAAGCTGAAATCTGAAATCTGTTTTGTAATTTCACATGTGCAACACATCTCTCTATTAGAGACTGTGGCCATGGCAGTCACTTTGTGAATAACAGACGTGTAGGAGTTTAATAGTGATTTTTGTAAAGTACAAAGTTTTTAAAGCTCTCTTTAAAAAAAAAAAAAAAGAAAGAAAGCATCTCTGTTTCCTGTCTTATGTGCTACTAAATAAACTAGGGATTAATAAAAAGATAATGGATATGAATGCAGGAAAAGGCAATTGTTATTTTAAATCTCCCCGCTTCTCCCATAGTTTTTCCATCCCTTTTTTGTGCAGTCAAATCCTGGCTGAATATATGAACATGGACATGAATTGGAAACAGAACAATACAATAATTAATGAACCTACCATTTTGGAAATCTCTATTCCCTCATTACATTTAAGGTCTGTAATACCTTTTTAACCCTTTTTACTTTTAAGCATCTGTACTAGTCCCATTCTCTCACTCTCACACTCCTGTTCATCTGAATAGAGTTCTCTCAAAGAATGCCTTTTCATCCATGGATTGCTTGTTTGAACAAGATATGTGAGATTAATTGATTCACAGGTTCAGTTGCTTCTGTTTATCTGAATTCAGACGAGTGTCAAAATCTTTCCAAATCACAATATTAAATATGTTTACTTATAGAAATGGCAAATAGTAGGTTGCTATTTTTATAATATGGCAAATAGTAGGCTGCTATTTTTATTTTTTTTTCTGTCTTAGCTGTTGAGAAAAGCAGAACTAAACACCAAATGCTTATGAGGCTTCAACTGAATGCCATATATTCATGTAATTTACATACTTGTAAAGCCACAAAGAACTCTGCATAAACAGTCTTTAATATCAGCAGCTAGGAAATAAATTGAAAATTATATATATATACTCACACGGGAAACAATGAAGGGTCTAAAATATAGGAGAAGGACAATGGAACTAAGAACCAGAGGTGTAATAACAAGTTCTCGGGTTCCTGTGGAATCAGAGTTGTGTAGTTCAGAAACACCACATACCTGCAGTCATTGCTCAGAGCACTTGGAGCCATTTGGAAAGTCATGAGTAGAGCAGCATAGTGAATAGTAAGATAATCCTTAAATTAAATCCGAATTACTTCTGTCTGGGAAATTAATATAGCTTTGTATCACTGTAGTAGTCTTCAGTCAATTCCAAATATGCAGAGCATTATACAGAAAGGTCATCTCGTTTCATGGGAGTATTTGCCACATTACAGTTTGATTTCATATGATTTGGAATAAAATCCCGTTATTTTTCTGTTATTTTTGAAAGGGAAAACCTGAGGTTTTTCAGTCAAAAAGGCTGCTAGAAGTTATGGTACTTGGATGCTTTTGTCCTTGACTTTGGGGAAGTTTGCCTGATTTGCTGCCCCAGATCTATAGATTTTTGGAAAGGCTAATTAGAAGTTCCAATTCAAGCTTCAATGGTCTAATGAGACAGAATAAAAGATGTTTGTCTGACAGGAGGCAAACTCCAAGGTTGTATAAGATAGACTGGGTTTTTTAATTTTATTTTATTTTTTTAATAATCTGTAAACTCCTTGTATTTTCTGTCTTAAGTGAAGACTGTGTCCAGAAATCCCGTGCCAGTGTATACGAACATCCAGCATGTGCTATGCACATGTCCTTGAGGAGGTAAACTAAGCAAAAGTGTCTTACATATATGGAAGATCAACTCAAGATGTTTTAGTGAGATTAGTTTCAAAGGTGGTATTTTCAAGGTGGTATTTATATATCACATGAAAATCTGTTGGGTTGTAAGCCGAGCAAGTGTCCAGTGAGCAGGGAGAAAAGTGACTCCAGTCGTATCTCTTTGTGTATGTGACTGCATCATGGCCAGTACATCCTCTGAAGGAAATCTCCAACACACCACCCTTCTCTGCCAAAATAAGAGGTGAAAATGCAGCAGTTTCAAATCTCAGATGCAACTATAGTCAGTCTTAGCACTGTGTTTCCTCTGGATGCTACATACCATGTAAAAGTAAGATTTTTTTTTTTTTGTCATTAGGCTTTGAAAGAAGCTCTTGGCATGAGTTGGGAAACATGACTTCAAATAGTTTTCGGGGGGGTTGATTTTGTCTTTTCATAGCTGCTGGTTCTATGCTACAAATGCTGTGGCACTGCACCTGTCTTTAATTTGTTTGTACAGAGCATTGTGTGGTGAGAGCTTGATGCATGATAAAGCCTCTATCTCAACATTAATTAAAATAAATCCTAATGTGTTCTGGCACTACTGTTGTTAATAGTCACCTGTGTTGGTTTCCTCCCCCAGCTTTCCCTGCTGGAAGATGCAGGCTTTGGTGGTGTTCTTCTTTACGCTGACCCTTGTGACTTACCAAAGACCACAGATCTTGCTGATAAAGCTTTTATGGTTTCCTTGAACAGCGGAGGAGATCCATCAACACCCGGCTATGCCAGTATTGGTAAGTACTGTTCAAGGCATATTCAGTTAATGGACATTTTCGTTCTCTGTAGATTTTAAGTATGGAAGTTAAAACACTAAGCCAAATCCTGCCTGAAATAGAAGCTCTGAGTAAGAGAGCATGTAATGCAGCATGCCTTAGAGGATGGAATCCAGTCTCAAAAGTGCTTTGAGCTCTTGGCACAAAGTCTGCACTCTAAATAATTTATTTTATTGCTTTTTTTATTTGAGTATTCACACACTGAACCATTATTACTGACTGCTTATTCTTATCCCATGAAAAAAAAAGGCTGTGAAGTCCTGATCCAGTGGTTTCTGAGCAGGTTTCATGGGATCTGTCCCCACCAAAAGATATATTCCCTTCATTGTGTCTTCCACTTTTATGGTATTGTTAATGGAAACTTCTGGTCAATAGGTGCAAGCGCAGTGTGAAAACAGACATTTGTATTTGAAAAGTTTTGAGGAAAAAGAATAATGTTTATAGTATCTATGTGCAATTATCACTTGGGTAGGATGTGTTCATTTAGCTTTGCCTCAGTTCTGCCTGGATAGGCTTGGTTATCAATTATGCTTCTCTAGGTACGTGTATTTTCAAAGGATAGGAAATAGAGAATTGATTTCAAGGAATGACATAGTCTTACATAACTTTATTGGTTGTTTTGTTGTTTATTTTCTTTGAAGCAATGCTAACAATGAATAGAAGCAGCAGCATATTTGACTTGTATGTGCTACTTAAATCTCCAGTCTGGCAGTTCAGTGAATGTGTGTTCTGCTCCTCTGCAGCATTTTCAGCTTTTACAGTTTTTTTACTATCTAACTATTTGGAAATGTATTAAACAGCAGTCTATGAGTTTGTGACAAGGCTTCATCAAGAATATTTTGTCTGGTTACTAGCTCAGACATCTAAAGTCTGACTTGAATTGGCACTAAATCAACTGAGGCAATGCTGAGATACTTCATGACTAGAATGGCAGAAAATAGAAATATTTGCCTGGTTGTCAAAGAGGGGTGTTAGCTGTTCACAGCATGAATGCCTTGACAGCTCAGTGGGAAAGAAATTGCACATTTTCTCAATGTCTCAGTGTACCTGACCCAGTGTTCTTAAAAGTGCCCTGGGAGCTACAGAGGTAAATATAACACTCTTCAAGCTTTATTCTTGCTCATTTCATGGAGCTATTTGAACAACAGTTTGTCGTGTATCTGTCTGGCTGACTCCTTAATGTTTTATTTACCCTACATGAAAAGTAAAGCTAATTAAAACAGATATCCTAACATGAAGATGCCACTTCAGTGTCTAAACCTTATGTGTTGGTTTTCTGTCAGTAAAAGATCTCATTGGCAGTGTGCATTCCAATCTCCAGTTTGGGGAAAAGAAGCTTAATTATGTGGAGAATGGTGTTGTAAGTACATCGGTGGTGAAGTAGAAGCCTTAGCATGGCTTGTCTGTGGTCTTAAGTCTTTGAGCAATGTTCATAAGCAAGAGGAGAACACGTTCTAAAATCGTTTATATTTTGATCATTGAATGCAGTGATGAGCTGGAAAGAGCTCAAAGGAATACTTGAGGAAACTCTTTTTTATGGTTCTGTCACTGGAAGGTAGATCAGATGGAAATAATTTCCGTGTTTCTGATGATGGTTTTTCTTCTCTGGAGACTCTGAACCAACTTGGTTAGAGATAGCTTATGCCTGGGACAAACACAAACACATCTGGAGCCCAGCCTTTTCCCTGAGGGATGCACTTGCATACACTGTAGTTAAACTGCCTAAGTGTGCAATAAAAGAGCCAAAGAGCCTGGGTTGCCCCTTTCGCTTTGATTCACTGAGTATAATATACACGACAAGAGATTTTATTGGAAGCTCCTGCTTAAGTTATTGGCATATCTTTGACACCATCTGCACTTCACACTTTGCCAGCAGAACCGTTACTATCACAATCTCAGGGACTGCTCCTACCACCATTCTCCCTTTTTACTGGGAAATTCCTTGTAAAATGAGTGATCCAAAGCTGTATTCACTATATTCAGTGAATAAAAGGTAGAAAACCTGTATTTTCATGCTGCTGCCTATGTTTTTCACGTTCCGAAAACAAATTTCTCTGTGTTATCAGAGCACTGGAATGCTTCAGTTTTTTCCTAGAAAAAAGGTCTTCAGGAAATTATATAATTTACAGATCTTTTCTTAAAGTTGGCAGCATTTTAAAATGGGATTTATTTAATAATTCAGAGAAAATTTTGAAGTTCTCATGAGATTTCAGCTCAAATTTTCTGTTTCATGAAGATTAAATGCTACACTACTGCATATCAATTATTTTGAATGTATAGAAATAGCTTGAGGATGGGTTTGAGATGCCAGCTACCTATGAGTGGGATGATTTTATTGATCTCTGTTTAACAAAGGGAAAAAAGTGATGATGACAAGGGGAAGTGAACAGCACTTATATAAAAGTTTCTCCAGCTCTGTTTTATAATTTAATTCTTCTGTTCTTAAGACTCTTCCATTCCTGTGTCATCTCAGTCCTGAAACAATTGTATGAGCCTTTGTGAGCATCAGTTCTGTTTTCGCGATTCTGATTGCCAAAGACTAGTGTCCTTCATTTTTAGAAATCTTTCTTCTGTGTTCCTGCTTTTGAAATTAAATAGATCCAGGGGGTGAAACTCAAGGAATTAAACACATGGGATTAAGAAGCCTGAGATAAGAGGCATACGTGGCAAAAAATTATCCTGAAAATAAAGTTTAGAAGAACAGTGTAAAACTTGAGTGACTTCCCCATCTACTTTTCTGTTTCCATTTTGTCTTTTTGACTGCTGCACTCCTTTCACCCACCTTTGTATGGCAGACACATATTAGATTTCTCCATCACTAGACTTCAGAGCTGTTTTAAATCAAATTTGTTTCCACACAAGAAATGGCTCAGTAAACAAAAATATGGATAGAATCTATTTGTCAATCCTGGTATGTAAATAGAAAAGTGGCATTGTGATAAGCATTAAGAACCCTGGCCATGAGATAAGGTGCCTTGTAATAAAATCCTGATCTGTGCAGTGGGGGAATGGAAAATATTTCATGAAGAATTCAGATGGCATCATAGAAAATTCTGTGAGCTTAAAACTGCTGAAATATAACAGCTGTAAAATACAATCTTACGGTATCAGCTGGAGTTTCAAGTGTAATGTTATTTTAGAGAATTGTTATGCAGAGGTTATGCAGTATGAAAAAAGGGTATGTTTTGTAATAGTCCCTGCTTTGAGTCATTTTAACAGCTTGTCATGTGAACCACATTACAGGAATTCGGGTGAAAAAATCAGTAACACAGGGAAAATGCTTGGTTCCCTATAATTGTGACTAGTGAACATTATTTAGACAGAGGAATTGACACAAGCATTCTTCAAACATTGCTAATAAGGTTTGATTTCATAGGAAGGGAAAAGGAAAGGAAGGAATTTCTGAAGTGTTGATCCACTGCAGGCCACAGCTGAGGCCATCAGCGAAGTCAGTGATGCCTCTGAAAACATATTTGAGAGAGGACAAGAATGATGGACAGGAAGGGAAGTGAAACTGAGCCTGGAAAAGGGCAATGCAGAGATGCTATTCTTGTTTTTTTGGTTCTGTTTTTCACTATCCAATATGTTTTAATTGGCAATTGCTGACACTCAGCATTGATGATAATTGATGTGATCTCTCTGTATTTACTGTGATCAGTGATTTTTTTCCATCTTTTTTCCCCCCCTATTCTGTTGAGGAGGGGGAATGAAAGCACAGCTGGGTAGGTGTCTGGAACCTGGCCAAGGTTTACCCACCACACTCTGTTCAACCAAAGTTAACCACCAAATATGTATCCTAAAAACCCCATGTCATTTATTTCTAGTCTTGTGTCATTCTTAAATGGAGCTTAGCCAGTTCTTCCACAGCAAACACAGGGAACTACTGCCACTGCTTGGGGTGTGGGTAAAGAGGTACGTGCTGTGATGGAAATGTGTGCCTACTTTATTTTTAGTCAGCCCTGTGATTCTGTATGCTTAGATGTGTCCTGCCTAATAATCTGAGTTTGTCCTTACTGTCCTTTACTTCATGATATTTTACTCCTCTGAAGTAACAAGCTGAGCAGAAGTGAGCTGGAAAATAGCACGTTGTGTCATGGTTTTAACCATGCATATGCAACATATGTTCTAAAATGTTTTGTTATAAATCATCATGACTTTTTACAAGATGTCCTCAGCCCTGGTTTGTCTGTTCTTTTAAAGAACAAAACAGAGTGACAAGAATATATTTTCTGTGCTTGCCTTTGCAGCTGTGGAAGTGATTCTGGGAATATATATATATATTTATTTTTTTTTTCAAAATGCATGTTTGTTTTCAGCTAATAACATCAGATAAATGCATTGTGAAGATAATTTGATGTAAAGTGAGTGTCTACATTCAGGTGTCTAGATATTGCTCTTTTATTTTCCTTAAGGACAGACTGAAGCTGGCGAAAAAGAAAAGCTAAAGTTCCATATTATAATTTTGGTGAGAGTATATATATGTTTACATGTACTCTTGATCATTTTATTTTGTACTTATGACATAATTTTAGTGATTGCCATAAAAAAATCACACACTTTATCATACCAACTACAGTGCTCTGTCTGATATACTGTGTTTTTTTTCTGCATGAAGAAAAATCTGTGCTAATGCAATAGAGAGGTAAATCTTTGGAAAATGCTGGCTTTTGAGTAGTGAGGACAGTAAGTAATAATTTCAGCAGGTTTTCTATAATACATGTATCACTAATAGTTCAAAAGGTGTCTGAATCCATGATCTGCCTCTTCAGATTTTGCAGGATATAATACAGCAACTAAATTTTTATGTAAGTTCCAAATTATATACTCTGAGGTTTTTCTGGATTTATGGTTTTTAGTTTTTCCTGCTGTCTGGCTTTCAGTTGGTGTTACAAGTATTTTAAACTGAGAGAGTTAGTTGGACATCAAGATAATTTAGGCTCACAGGTTTGAATGAGTGAACC